TAGTGACTCCTTCTGCCTTCATGTCTGAACTAATACAGCTACTGTGGACAGTCTGGCACAAAACTAGAAACAGAATTGCCAAATAACCCAGCTCAATGTGGAGCTTTTCAAAGAAGAGTTTTGGCAATCTTCTGCTTGTCACTAAAATGGGGACATCTCATTTTCCATTCGCTATCTAGTTTTGTGTGTCTTTTCACAAAGTGCTTTATACCAGGAGTAAAACGATTTGACAAAATTCTCTGTTATTTTCAGGAGTTTTCTCCCAGAATTTGTCTTATCTTTTAGTGGCTTGTATCTAGATATCAAATAGTATCTGTTAACTGTACTTTTTTTTTTTTTTGAGTCTGTGTCTCCTGTAGTTTGGGCTGACCTCGACCTCCCTAAGTAAGCAAGGATGACTTTGAACTTCTGACCCTCCTTCCTCTACCTCCCAAGTGCTTGATTACGGGCAACCATCACCAAGTCCAGTTTTACGTGATGTTGAGGACGGAGCCTTGGGCTTCATGCACGTTAAGAAAGCACTCTACCAACTGAGCCATGTCCTCATGCAGCAATATGGGTCTTGAAGGATCTAGAAAGATGTTGCGCAGCTCGGCTTCCCTGTCCCCATGCTTCACTGCTACAGGTCATGCTAAGGTGATAGCTGCGACTTGCCAGTCAAGGCACCTCCTTCCTGTGAGCAGAGTTTGGCTCACTGGGCTGGAAATAAAGCTTGCTGGCGCCGTGGCTACGGCTACCAACACAAGGGCATCTTCCTGCACCAGCCCTGTCACCTCATGTGCTAGGAACGGAAGAGAAAGGCTTCTTGGCTAGTCACCTGCAGAAAACTCTAGGCATCTGCAGAGCCATCAAGGCGGGAGGGTCTTCATTGAGTCTGTGTTCTGCCTGCAGAGGCAGAGTACCTCATACTATGAAAACCCAACAATCCATAACGAACAGTTACTCTGCCCACGGAAGGGAGATCTTTGCCAGCTGGGGCTGATTTGCTCAGTAACTTAGGTCACATCGATGTGTGAGCAGGGCCTTGTCCCCTGGTGTGTGATTAGGAAGACTTTGAAAGAAATGACTCAGATGATTAATGGGGTTAATCCTCGTGGAATGCACATGCGCAGTGGGGAAAGGAAGACGCTAGACTGCAGACAGCACAAGCTACAGGACCTTTGAACACACACTGAAAGAATGCTCACCCGTTAAGCTCCAGCACAAAGTTATGTTTTAAGGGGTTATTTATTTGGCGGGGGGGGTAAAACTTACATACACCATAAACCGTCAGAAAGGGAGCCTAGTCGCTGGAGCAGGAGCCGGGAGCAGCAGCCGAGACCGAGCACGGGAACCAAGAGCCAAAACCAAGAGAGACCTTATCTGGAACTGCTTCTCTTTTTAAAAGAAAAATATACCACGCCCCAGTGGGCTGGTATTTTAACAGCTATTGGCTGACGGAGCGGAAGTCGCTCCCCGCTGCACTGTGGGCTCCTGCTTCAGTGATTATTGGTTGAGGCAGCGGAAGTTACTCCCACAACAGCTTCCTTGCTTTAATTATACAGAGCTAACCACTCTTAGCGAGACCTGGTGACAGCCTGGGACAGTGGTTCTCAGCCTTCCTAACACTGCCATGCTTTAATTCAGTTCCTCATGATGTGGTGACCCCAGCCATACATAGATTATTTTTGTTGTTACTTCAAAACTGTAAATTTGCCACTGTTATTATGAATTGCAATTCAAATATCTGTGTTTTCAGATGGTCTTAAGCAGCCCCCTGTGAAAGGGTCTTTCGATCCCCAGGTTGAGAACCGCTGCCCTAGGACAAGGATTGAAAGTTAAGTACAGTGAGGTCTCATCTGTATTCCAGAAGCCAAGGAATTGGGATGTCTGAACCCCAATCCATTTTGAAGGTTTCCCTTAGACCACATTAGACAGAATGATCAGTATTTACCTATGTCTGACACTCATTTTCTTATAACTATTAAAAACTCCAAATTCTCTACTCTTTCTAGTGACTAAGCCTTTGTCACAGTGATTCACCAAAATCAGAACTTTAACTGTTTCTTGGGTGCCCACGTGATCAGGACAGGAAGTGAGGAAAAGTGTGCCTGGGGTTGTCATAACCATGGCAACTAAAAGCGTATGAAGTTGTGAGTTGCTCACTCCGGCACTGGTGGTTGACGTCACGGGTCTCCTCACATGCAGAGGACACAAGTTCTAGCTCCCACCCAAACCCCAATTACAAGTTACATGTTCAGTCTGATGCCCGTGCACGCCGAGTGCTCCGTCGAACGCAATGATTACTGTTCTCCTGGCCATTATTAGCTATGTGGCTTTAGGTAAGTCGGAGGGCTTCTCTGAGCCTCAGTTCTGTAGAAAACAGGGACAGCACACATAAAAATGCTTCTGTTGTATGAGGGCTCAATATATGCATGTGTGTGAAGGCCAGAGGCTGCTGTCCTGGCGTCTTCCTCCAGGGCTCTCTGTTCACTGAAACCCCATCTCCTCTCTGAATCCAGAGCTCAGCATTCGACTAGCCTAGCTAACGGCCCAGAGAGTTCCCCTGCCTCCACTTCACCAGACTTTTATCTGGGTCCTGGAGATCTAAATTCTGGTCTTTGTGCTCATACAGCAAGTGAGTTACCTACTCAGCCATCTCCCCAGAACTCTTTGCTTCATGAAAAACAAAATGACCCTGTAGATCAAATAAAAATCCTACCTAAAATGTTCAAATTCAAGGACTGCCTGGAAGGGGAATGATGGAGCTTTTGTTTCCTAATTGCTAAGTGAGTTTAATGTGGGTTAATTAATGATGCTATTGGTGAATGGAATTAGCTAATGCAAAACCTAAAACAGCATCAAAGGCACAAACGGGCAGGAGGCATCTAGGATAATTGAGGGAACAGAGGCCAGAGTAGAGCTGCTAAGGGGTGTGCACCAAGCTGCTGGGCAGGCCAGGGGAGTAAAGGGAAAACCAAGTCAGCCTACGGCTGAGCCATTTAAGCAGCGAGGGGGCTGGCTGCCAAAATGCCATCCTGTTTACAGCTCCTGTGTTTGAATTTTAGATTTGCTTAAGTCTTTGAAGCTGGGTTCCTGGGCCTTTCCTTGAGAATAAATTCCATTCTTTAGAAACCACAAAATACACTCCCACCGTCCCCAAAAGGAATGTGAACTGACCTGGCTTCTGTACGGCCCCTTGGGACCTAAGGGACCTTCGCATTAGAAGATGTATCAGAGTGAAACTAATCAACTCGGACTTGAACCCTATGGAAGAGAAGCGGGGGATAGGGCAAGGTCTGTCTTCACTCTCTGAGCAAATGTGGGGTGGCCTCACAGCGGCAGCACTGAGCCGGGCGCGAAGACAGGCGTTATCTGTCAGACCTTCACAAATATAGATGCTCCCAGAGGACTCAAAACATAGAAAATGTCATTAGCTCCCCCAGTGCATGTAAACGGCTGAGATTCCTAGCTGGGCATCACAGCGCACGGCAGACCGTCAATGGTCACCCTTTCCTACTCTGGAGGGCTGCAGCTGGCCCCGGCTGCTGGTCAGCATCCAGAGACAGGTGTGCATCAGGCAGGGAAAGGATCCCAACACAAACCGCGAGGTACAGTTTCTCCTGAATGTCAGTCACTTCTCAACTATCATGAAGAAAGAGCCTGCGTGGGGTTCTCTAGACAGCTCCTCAGCATGGAACAAAACAAACGACAACAGCCAACACCAACCAACCAGCCAACCAACCGGCCAAAGCTTATGGCTAGGGAGTCGGCATACGACTTCAGCCAAATCCGATTTAGCTTTTCCTTCCAAAGTTGGGGCCTTCCAGGACTACCCTAGAACAAACCATCACAAACTGACAGAGAGGACGACGTACACCCGCTGTCCCCACCAGCGAGGGTGATTATGGTCAGTCGTCGGGATGCTTCCTAATGGTAAGTCCTTCTAAGTAAGTCACGCTCTTAAAGTGGCTTAGGTTTGAAGTGACCGTGACTGAGAATGTCTGTCATACAGCTGAAGGTCCCTGTCCTTTCCCATCCTCTTGCCGCTTTAATACTTTGAACAAACCACAGTTTCACTCTGGGTTTGAAAATGTCCCCAAATGCCACTTTAAAACAGCGAGGTAGTGGCCCACTGGGGAAGTGGGGAAGAAGGCGATCCTGTCACACGCCATGTCTCTCCACTCCCATTTCAGTCCTGCGAGACAGTGTGTGTGTGTGTCCTGCTGTGTCTAGCACTCTGACCGACCAGGACTTCTGCTCATGTTACCTCTCTTGCCTTAGCTGGCCCCTGGCCATATGGATCCAGAGCAACATAGCAGGGAGACAGTAGCAGGGACCTAACCTGCTGTCCCATCCGCCCTGAGATCACACATGGCAGAGCCTCTGGTGCAAAGGCTGGGAAATCAACAGCCCCTGTGTACGAGGTCCACCTACCCCAATGCCTCGGAACACTTTGGCTGGCAATGAAAACCTCAAGTGTCACCAAGACCTAGCCACCACACTCCCCCCCCCCTCCTTCGACGACATAGGACTTTGGCATTGGGTCTCAGACTTGATTGAAACCCCCAAACTGAATAGTTAGTCTCTCAGGACATTGAAACGACCCTGGGTAGAGGCAGGTGGAGAGAACCTCGCCAAAATCCCAGGGGCTGTTTGTCTTCTTCAGTGGGTCAGTCTCGGGAGCAAGCGGAGAAGCTCAGTTCTTCCCCCCACACTCCCACAGCACATGCTGTTTGGGGAGCATAAATACTACAGTTTGCAACACAGTTTGGCAGTCGAATCAAAGTGCACTTAACAGCAGAATGGGGTTTCTGATATTTTCTTCAAAACAAAGGAACAACCTCAGGTCTGCGAACTGGTAGCACAGACACACAGTAATCAGGAACGCTTGTCCAAACGCAACCCAAAAATGACATGCATTTCAAAAATGTACCCGGGATCATTCCTAGCCAAGGACACCTCGGTTTCGTCCACAGTTGAAGAATACGGAAAACCAAAAGAGAAGGACCAAGGCTTACCTGGTGCCCGAGTGAGGTCAGCTTCTCCTCGCAGCGGGGCGAGAGGATGGGTCTCCGGAGAAGGCAAGCAGGTAAGGGATGGAGGGCAGGCTTCACAGGCTGTCGCCAGCGTCCTCTCTGAAGCAGGTGCTCCACAATCCTGGGGCCAGCCGGGTGACAGCGACCAGGCACACCTCTGCCGCCAGCTCCACTAACTTTCTATTTTGAAGAGCTCTCGGGAACTTTCTCTTGACTGCTCCCCAGTCCCGCCTGTGAGTTTACTAACAGTCCAGCCTAGAGGCTTTCCCTCGCTGCAAACCCACCCGCGCCACCTAGAGGCCGCATCTGGCACCGGCAATGCTGGAGCCCGGGCAAGTCAGCCTTAGGCTCTGCCGCCAGATGCACCTGGCTGCGCAGGACTTCCTGCCCCTTAAGGGACAAGTTGGAATGTGTAAAAAGGTTTGATTTTTTTTTCCCCCGAATGTGTGGGGGTCTTGCGCCTATCAAAACAACTTAGGCCGTTGGTTACAAGAGTGCTGAAAGGTGAAATTTGCATTGTTATCATTAATCAGAATCACATGTACGTCCTGGAACTATAGATGGAAGTACATGCCTCATATGAATACATACTCTGCTACTCCAGGGAAGTATGTATGTCTTCCAGAACTCTTGATAGCCATGTATCTCCCCCACACTTCGAGATCAGATATATGCTCTGATAACCTCACATGCTCCATGTAATCAGAGGACTGGGAAACATGCAAACTGCATACCTTTCAGTATTGATCAATTCTTATTATCCGGAAAAATGCCCAGCCTTAAAAGAATATAACAGCCCCGTCCCTTTCCCCCTCAACTTACTTCCTGTAAGTAAAGGAGTGGAGACTTCCTTTCCTTCTTCAGTTTTGGAGACAGGGTTTCTCCGTGTAGTCCTGGCTGCCCTGGAACTTACTTTGCAGACCAGGCTGGCTTTGAACTCAGATCCGCCTGCCTCTGTCTCTGCTGGAATTAAAGGCGCGCGCCACCATGCCTGCGTAGGAGCAGAGACTTCTATGTGCTCCCCTTCCTTCTTGTTCCCTCGACCTTAGATATGCAGGGTTGGGCTGGGGTGGGGTGAGGGAGTAGGGATGACATGGGGAGAGGGGGAGCGCGGGAGAAACAGATGACACTGGGCAGGACCGGGACAAGGATCCTCAACTTAATGACTGAGGGAAAGCAATATGTTTTCGCTTAGCTTGGTGAGTAGTGTGGACAGCTCGTCTAGACAGGGCAGACGCCGCTGAGTGTCCAGGTTTGGCTATCTACGTTTCCCAGACGGAACCTGCAGTGAGGTCGTGATAAGTGAAAACCACTGAGCTCACTCACGTAGGAACTGGGAAACCCAGTGCGGAGCGCTGGACTAGTCTTCCCTGCGGCGGATCATTTCCATCTCCTGGCATCCTTATTTTAAGAAGTGTATCTGAGGGCAGAGATTTCATTTTAGCTGCGACTTTTTATTTTCTACTGGATATCAAGCAATGCCTTTAAGTTGATCAGAATGAGATGGGCGACATTGCCACTGCCAAACGAGAGGAGAAAGGGCAGGAGGCATGGCTCTACCTGAAATAAAATGGGATAGAAAGCAAAACAATGCTTTGCCAGGCGATATGTGGATCAATGTGGAGTTCCCGTGGTCCTTTTATGCAAAGCAGAATGCGTGTGCAAATCAATTCAATGTATTAAGCTAATGAATGAGGCAAGAAAGGCAACTGCTCATCGGAATCATTTAGAAACTGAAAATTCATTACTTTCTGTTTTGAATATTTTCTGGAAGACGGACATAGAAAAAACCAATAGATTATCATAGTATGTTTAAAATAAGGACTCAAGTCAAGATTGTAGAGCATGGTGGGTCAAATGGGGTCTTTTGGGGCTGTGGGGAATGTGGCATAATTTAGAACGCATGCGTGATATCTATAACTTAACCCAGGATGGCCTGTCCTTTTCAGCACACGCCAGGTGGTGGGGCACACTCTTGTGAGCTCTATTAATTAGAGCTGTTATCATTAATCAGAATCACATGTAATCAGCTGTAATTAGCTCTATTGTGGCACGGCACTGTCAGTGGCTTTGGAGATTCAGGGCACATGCTGGTAGAAAACACACATGGGCAGGAAGAATGATGAGTTACCAGAACTGACCACTTCTGAGCCATATTCAAGGGCTGGGCAGATGGACCAGTTGGTAAAGTTCTCGCCTTGCAAGAATGAGGACCCGAGTTCAGATCCCACCCATCATGTAAAAAGCTGGGTACTGTGATGTGTCTCTGTCACACCAGCACTGGGGACACAGGGACAGACAGGTGGATCTCTGGAGCTCACTGGCCAGGCAGGCTAGCCAAATCAGTGAGATCCAGGTTCAGTAAGACCCTGTCTCAAAAATTAAGAAGGAGACGACTAAGGAAGATATTCAACATTGACCTCTGGCCATCATACACATGTGTATACACATAATACACCCCTCTGTTCCTACCCCCCATACACCTACACACACAAAGAGCGCTGAGACATAATCTGTTCGTTAGTATGTAGACTCTGCGTCTTAATTTCTAGTCTCATGTCGAGTAAACAGGGAAGAAAGCCCCCGACCCTCACAAATCCCACAAAACAGCCTTCTATGTAGTGTGCCCATTGCTTCCTCGTTCAGTGCGCACCTACCAAGTCCATCTACGCGCCTGCCCTTTACCAGGGGCTCAGCATATCGTGATAAGAAAGGCTGCCAAAATGTGTCAGCTCTCAAGGAACTTAGATCGGTTGAGGGGGCGGTGAGTAGTCACTTACGAAATGACAAGGAAATGCACTTCCTGTTGGTGGCAGGTGGGGGTAAAGGATGCCTGGGTCGTGAGTGTGTGTGTGTGTGTGTGTGTGTGTGTGTGTGTGTGTGTGTACGCATGCGCACTCACACAGTTTCCTACTCTTTAATTACTGTCTGAAAAAAAGCATCAATTAAACACAGCAAAACACAGATGCTGCCTCCTGATGCTCACCTGCCTTTATTAATACCCCGGCAAGCCAGATTCTTGTGACCTACAGACAGAGATCATTTCAACATTTTTTTTTTTAAAATGCTGTTGTTTGAACCAAGCAGTAGTATATGAGGGTAGGATAGTTTTTTTGTTTTTACTGTCCAGGGCTGTTGCTTAGAAAGAGTTAGGAAGGTGTATAGAATTGGACAATTACAACCCAGGCTGTGGCACAGCACATGCAGCTTCCAGTCTACCCGAGAGCTGGAACTGTGTCTCTATCCGGAGTGGGGGAAGGATGAGGAAAGCAGGGTCCCTAGAATGTGGTCCGGTTCCCCTGCTCTCCTAAGAAAACGTGTCTTCATCCGTATTTATGGTTTATATACAGGCTCTGCCCTTCTCAGGGAAAGAATCAGCTAATCTTAAAGTGGTACGTCAGACCTGTCCTCCACCCTTAATTCTGCAGCTCTGGACGTGGAATTCCAGAAAGGTCATCTTAGGAACCACGTGGTCAAAGACTTTGATCTCCAGATACCTAAAATGCCAGGACTGAATAGGTGGTGGAGAAGAAGCTGGCAAGCAGGGGCGATGGAGGCTAAGGGCACGGCAGGGACCTTGCCACTTTTACAGACAAGGGGCAAGGCTATTCTGAGGAGGAGAAGGAAGGATCTGGCAGTACGTATGTACGTGCATAGAGAGACGGTTGTTTGGGGTTGAATGAAGCTTGTACAGAAACCCTGTCTGAAATGGGTCAGATAAATTGGAGAAACTGAGAGAACCTGTAGAGGGTCACAAGACAGGGAATTGGGCTCAGAGTGAGCTGAGTCTGCTTGGGAAGGGTAATGGGGCCTGGCACCACAGGGTACTAGGCAAGGGTCTTGGATTTTCTGCAGGGCCATAGGATAGTTCAACAATGATGGAAGCTTCTGGAAGTGGGACAGACTTCTATCCCTGGCAAAGAAAGGACAGGAAGAGACTATGTTTGATATGTGCTTGTGCCTGAGCCTATAGCCTGTTCTAGGTGGACCCAGGGAGACAGAAGGCCAAATAGACTGTGGGTGCACTCAGCACAAAATCAAAGCGACCACGCCAGGTGGGGAACAGTTGGTTTCCAACTGGTGGCTTCATCCCACTGAAGAATGGGATTCTGTACTCAGTTGTTTAAACTTGGTCATGCCAACATCCTCTTGCTAAGGAAATAAGTTTGACCTCTCCGATCAGCCTACTTTAGTGAGGGCCGCTGTAACAAGAATACTATAGTCGGTGTAGTTTAAGCAGCAAACACTTGTTCATCACATTTATGGAGGCTGGGAAAGCTGAAGTCAGGGTGTTTAGCAGATTTGGTGTCTGGTAAGGACCCACTCTCTGGTCCTGTAGTGTTGTGGGACAGAAGGGCAAGGCAGTGGACTGGGACTTCTTCTTCAAAGTCTTATCCCTGTGGGTCTCTGTCCTCATTATCCAATCACTGCCCAGGGGCCTGACCTCCTAACACTCACTGCGGATACTGTAATCAACATCTCCAGTTAGTGTGCTCACAACGGGCAGGCTACAGTGCTATCCACTTGTGTAGGATTCCTCCGTATACACTTTCTGTCACCTGGATCTGGGACATGGATGTCCACAAATACTCTGCTAAATAAAGGACCAGTGAGGCCCTGGGGTGCCTGTAGGAGGCTGGGGCAGGATGGCTTCTCGCATACTGTCTTGAGACACAATTGGATATAGCAAGACCCTATGAGAGAAGGAAGGGAAGGGAAGGGAAGGGAAGGGAAGGGA